GAATCTAGAAATAGTAATGAACCAGGGTTAGGACATTCCTATCAAAAGGGTTATGGCGAAGTGAAAATTTCCCCATTGAAAATGCCCAATTTTTCACCTTCCAGGAAAAATGGCCAAAGTCAGTGTTTGCAAGGGCAGGCCAGTTGAAAATGCATTGTGAGCACGTTTTAGGGTTGGAGCTTTGGGGCAGGATATAGGGATATGTGCCACTTTTGACATGCCCAGGTTCATTGCCTTTCCCAGGATGCCGGGTTAGGGTTAGGGTGAGATTTTCGGGTATGCTGAATCTAGGTTAGGCCAGTGATCGGACATTCCTATCAAAAGAGGTTAGGGTTAGGGTTGGAGCTAGGGTTAGGGTTAGGGTTGGAGCTAGGGCCAGGGTTAGGGTTTGCAAGTGTTGTGTGTGGATTTTCCCAAAATCTGAAGATTTTCCTAACGGAGGCCATTTTTCACCTTCCAGGGCGACTTGTGTTAGGAGCACGTTTCAGGCCACGGGGAGTCCATAGAACCGGTTAGTGAGACTTTGGGCAAGGGTTAGGGTTAGGGTTGGAGCTAGGGTTAGGGTTATGTGCCACTTTAGACATGCCGGTTAGGGATTGCCTTTCCCATCGATGAACCGGGCTGAGGGTTGGGCCATTTTCGGGTTGGAATCTAGGGTTAGTAATGAACCAGCGATCGGACATTTTCCTATCAAAAGTTATGGCGATGAAAATTTTTTCACCTTCCATGAATTGTGTTAGGAGGCCAAAGTCAGTGTTTGCAGGTTGTACTTGTCCAGGAACTGTTGAAAATGCATTGTGAGCACGTTTCAGGCCATTAGTCCTGATTCTGGGTTTGGGCCAGGGGGGTCATACCGCTTTTGACCAGAGGTGGTGCTGCATATGTCCGACTTTTAGGGTTATGCCAGGTTCATTGCCTTTCCAAGGGGTTAGGGTTAGGGTTGGAGCTAGGGTTAGGGTTAGGGTTGGAGCTAGGGTTAGGGTTAGGGTTGGAGCTAGGGTTAGGGTTAGGGTTGGAGCTAGGGTTAGGGTTAGGCGAAGTGAAGATTTTCCCAAGAATCTGAATGGGAGCGGAAAATGGCCCAAAGTCAGTGTTTGCAAGTGTCACTTGTCTGGAACTGTTGAAAATGCATTAGTGAGCACGTTTCAGGCCAGGTCATTTGAGGGGTCCATAGGGGTGTCATACCGCTTTTGACCAGGGGTTGAGCTGCACTTTGGGGCCGAGGTTTAGGGATGAGACTTTGGGCAAGGGGTTAGGGTTAGGGCCTTTCCCCATGGGGTTAGGGTTAGGGTTAGGAGCTAGGGTTAGGGTTAGGGTTAGGGTAGGGTTAGGGTTAGGGTTGGAGCTAGGGTTAGGGTAATGAACCAGCGATCGGACATTCCTATCAAAAGTTATGGCTGAAGTGAAAATTTCCCATTGAAAATGAATGGGAGCGGAAAATGGCCAAAGTCAGTGTTTGCATAGTGTTGTACTCAGGGTTAGGGTTGAGTTGGAGCAGGGTTAGGGTTAGGGTTAGGGTTAGGGTTAGGGTTAGGGCTTAGGAGGGCCCAGGCCAGGCCAGGCCAGGCCAGGCCAGGCCAGGCCAGGCCAGGCCAGGCCAGGCCAGGCCAGGCCAGGCCAGGCCAGGCCAGGCCAGGGCCAGGCCAGGCCAGGGCCAGGGCCAGGCCAGGCCAGGCCAGGCCAGGCCAGGCCAGGCCAGGCCAGGCCAGGCCAGGCCAGGCCAGGCCAGGCCAGGCCAGGCCAGGCCAGGCCAGGCCAGGCCAGGGCCAGGCCAGGCCAGGCCAGGCCAGGCCAGGGCCAGGGCCAGGCCAGGCCAGGCCAGGCCAGGCCAGGCCAGGCCAGGCCAGGCCAGGGCCAGGCCAGGCCAGGCCAGGCCAGGCCAGGCCAGGCCAGGCCAGGCCAGGCCAGGCCAGGCCAGGCCAGGCCAGGCCAGGCCAGGCCAGGCCAGGCCAGGCCAGGCCAGGCCAGGCCAGGCCAGGCCAGGCCAGGCCAGGCCAGGCCAGGCCAGGCCAGGCCAGGCCAGGCCAGGCCAGGCCAGGCCAGGGCCAGGCCAGGGTTAGGGTTAGGGTTAGGGTTAGGGTTAGGGTTAGGGTTAGGGTTAGGTTAGGGTTAGGGTTAGGGTTAGGGTTAGGGTTAGGGTTAGGGTTAGGGTTAGGGTTAGGGTTAGGGTTAGGGTTAGGGTTAGGGTTAGGGTTAGGGTTAGGGTTAGGGTTAGGGTTAGGGTTAGGGTTAGGGTTAGGGTTAGGGTTAGGGTTAGGGTTAGGGTTAGGGTTAGGGTTAGGGTTAGGGTTAGGGTTAGGGTTAGGGTTAGGGTTAGGGTTAGGGTTAGGGTTAGGGTTAGGGTTAGGGTTAGGGTTAGGGTTAGGGTTAGGGTTAGGGTTAGGGTTAGGGTTAGGGTTAGGGTTAGGGTTAGGGTTAGGGTTAGGGTTAGGGTTAGGGTTAGGGTTAGGGTTAGGGTTAGGGTTAGGGTTAGGGTTAGGGTTAGGGTTAGGGTTAGGGT